TCGCACCTGTTGACAATAAACAAAATATTAATTTCACTAAACAAAGCAAATAAGTTGCAAAGTAGTTTAATAGCTAAAGGCAGTTTTGTCATTGTTTTTGACGAAGCTACACATCGGATACATATATCAAGAATATGTATTATACATAAAGTAAATGCAGTTGTAGCTTTTAAAACTAACCTTGGGCTTGAGGTCGGAAAGTCTGCCGTAAGCAACTGAGAGGCGCTGACTGCTGAAGTCAAGGTTTTTCTTGTAGGCCTCTGAGGCCAACTTGGAGGCCTCACTCAGCACGCTGGTCAACCTGAGAGAAAGACAATCAACTTTAATAAGTTGAAGACAACAAACTTTATCTCTATTTGCATAATTGCAAATAAAGATAAAGAACATTCTGCAGGATTGCAAATATTCCATAGCCTACATGGGTATCTTCAAAAAACATATTTGCATCAGAAATTTGCGAAAAGCAGTCAATGCCGAAATACATTTAAATTGCAAACACCTGATAGCACATGAATGTGGACACATTGGAGGTTTATGAGGTACTTACTTTGATTCGAGCATGTTGTTGGCGGAGTTGTTGCTGGAGAACACCATGTTGGAGATGAATGGAAATGAGGTAGTAGTGATGTTGGTTACTAAGCTATGACCATAGCTCTTCTGCCTCGTCTGACTCTTGGTGGTAGAGTGACGCTCGGTCGCCTGCCCCCACCTTATATTGGCCTCCAGTTGGTGACGCCCTCGGCCCCTTGTCGTCACGCGCGCCCGGGATGAACTTTGTGTATTGCGCGCTCGCCCATGCTTCTATCTCACCCGGCTAGAGATTATGAAATGGTACACTCAGTTATTACGCAATACAGCCAAGTCTTCATTTATGGCTGGATGATGAAAATAGGAAAAACAATTGAATCTCAGATATATATATTTGTATGACTTTGCACCGTTGTACTAAAAATACTCATGATATTCATGAATGATTGTGATTGGCTGGCGAGGCGGCGTGCCCACCACGAGATGTGCTGTGATTGGCCAAGGGACTGCGCACCACTAAACCGGAGAACAAGTATCTGTTGCCAAGAGAACCATGGAGCCGGAGGCACTATATCAATGCTGCATTATTTAGTAAAGAAAAATCATGTCCGTGTGGCATGTAAAAAAAAAAATATATCTTGGTGGCTAAATATAGCAACTACGCTAATATATGTATGGGTGCAGTTGCTATTTGCATTATCCATTGCATACAGTTGCAACCTGTATTACCGACACGTCTCCAGTTGTAACTTGTGGATAATAGTGAAGGTGGGGAAGGGAGTACTGGGGAGAGATTTATATGAGAGATCTTGGGTTGCTAAGTGACATAGTGACTCTGTGGTACTTAGGTGACTAATATACTAGGCTGTTGGATTTGTTAAGTCCCTGTCCGTTTGGCTTCCGCTCCCAAAAAGAGTTAAAACGATGCAATTATTAGTAGGTAGTTGTAATAGTAATGATGCCACACAACCGTCACGGGTGAGAACATTCTCCCCCACCCTCCATCACCGTCCCCCTCCCCAACAGGTAGCAGTACCCCCAACGCGCACTACCCCTGCTGACCACCTGCACATTCCCCCCCTCTCCTCCCCATCGCGTGGCGGGCGCCTTCCCTCGGACCCCACCTAATGCAGGAGGCGCCGTGATGTCTGGCGACCCGTCAGTGAATGATGCCAAGACAAGCTCATACACTGAACGTTGAAGCCACATTCGAGGGGCATATGTAGCAACATTTGTGACAGTTGGAGCCACATTTGTGGCAGTTGGAGCCACATTTGTGGCAGGTGGAGCCACATTTGTGACAGGTGGATTATTTTATTATTAACATCTTTATTGACAAAATTAATTACAATTTTGCCTAATCTGAGGATTTCGATTAAGTCTTATTAAAGTGAGGATAATGCTGGTATTCACTGTCACGCAGGACAGAGGGTCATACATAAGACAATAGGTCTAGACTGTAGGCGGAGGTACATATATCATGGTTACAATCAATGTTTTACTGTATGGATATGTGAAAACTTTCTATTGCGCACTGCCACACAAGGGCAGGGATGGGTTCATAAGTGATGCAGCTTAGAAGTAATATAAATAAAAATTGTTCTTCATTCTTTAAAATGGACAAGAAAATTTTGGATACATTGCTAGGATGTCGTCCAGAACACTTGAGTCAATAAAATAGTTACACAGTTGGTGGTACAAGAGGCCAGGAGGTCTAAAATCCTTTACGGTTTCACATTCAACAATATAGTGTTCTAGTGAATGCATTAAAGGTTTATCACAGAGTTTACAATCTGAGTATTCTGGTAGTGGCTCAGCCTCACTAACCTGCCAGATGTGTCTATAGCCAAGGCGAATTCGCTATAGACAACCGCCTGGTCCGGTTACTGTGCTGACCATACAAATACCTATTATTACAAAACTTGTCATAACTTTTAATACTGCAGCTTTCAGGTCTCTGTGCATTTCTTAGTTCTTCTAAATCTGAATTAATTTCTTTAATTTGTATGTTTCTAATAATTGCATTAGATAATCCAAAGTCATAATCATTGTTTTCTTTCCTGCAAGCCTCATTGGCCAATCGATCTACAAAGTCATGTTGTCCAACTCCAACATGGGACGGGATCCACACAAATTTTATACAAGAGTTATTATCATTGGCAAAAATTACATTCCATTTAATATTACAAACTACTTCCGACATGCATTGTGATGGGTTATTTAAGGACTGCAGAGCACTTTTAGAGTCACAGAAAATAACTCCATTGTTATTACCACCATTGAGCTTAAGGTATTCAGTGGCTAGATAAATGCCCAATAGCTCGGTCTGTGTCGTGCTTGCCCAATTGTTCAATCTCTGTGAACTAGACATGATCATTTCATTCCCTTTATATACTGCACAAAGCCATCAGTAAAGGCTCAGTCGGATTGAGAATTTGAAGATGATTGTCAATAGCTTCTAATGTTAAGCTGTAGCAGCATCTACAACCCCCCCCCCCACCATCACCACTACCACCACCAATAGGAAGAAAATTCACTGTAATTTTCACCCTGTGAGCTGGGACTATATTTTCCCTGATGCATATATTCACCTGGACCCCCTCACGAGGCCTGTTCTCAACCATATCTATAATAAGTTTTTATTTTTAAAATTGAATAATAATTCATTGTGTCAGGGGGCAGGAAGCCAAAGTGTATACATAGACATTTGGCTTTTACCCTCCCCCCGGTCCCCCCCCCCTCGCCCTCACCACCGAATTACTGACCCCGTCCAGGCTACAACCCCACAACAAGCTGACTAACTCCTGAGTACCTACTCACTGCTTGGTGAAGAAAGGCATTAGGTGATGTGCCCAACCATTTCTGTCCCGCCCGGGATTCGAACCCCGAATTCTCGATTGCGGGTAGAGAAAACCGATTGTATTACCAATCATTTGGTGTGTAGATTAGAACCAGACCTTGGAGTGTTTTCCATTGACTGTATAGATTATGAGATATGTTTTAACCCCCGCTCCAGAGTAGTACCAATGACCTTGAGACTGTTGATAGTAAACCACCTTAATAATTCAGTAAAACTATGTATACTCTGGCTTAATTTTTTATATATTAAGTTAGTCTCTAACAATATGCAGCAATTTACCTAATTTGCTGTGAAACACAAAGTAGCTATTTATCAAACGGCGAAAGAATCTGTTAAGAGAATGAGGAACACGAGAGGGGCTGGTTGACATGTGTTATGAAAGACTAGATACACAATAAAATGTGCAACTAGATTAGCTTAGCAAGTTGCCTCGAGATTCGAGAATTTTAGCAAGATTCTCGAAAGAGTAATTTTGGGGTTCAGTCTGAGCTCATTCTAAACCTTCGAAACTACCTCCCACAAGATGGGTATGTAGGAAGAAAATGTTTACTAACATAAGAAAATGTTAGTAGGTCCACATAAGAATTTATATATGCTGGTTAGCACTGTAGAAAACCACGGTAGAAAAAAAACAGAATGTTTATGGCGTCCACTACCGCTCACAGGATGGGTATGGGATCCACTACCGACCACAGGATGGGTATGGTATCACCTACCGACCACAGGATGGGTATGGTATCACCTACCGACCACAGGATGGGTATGGGATCCACTATCGACCACAGGATGGGTATGGGATCCGCTACCGACCACAGGATGGGTATGGTATCACCTACCGCCCACAGGCTGGGTATGGGATCCACTACCGACCACAGGATGGGTATGGTATCACCTACCGACCACAGGATGGGTATGGGATCCACTATCGACCACAGGATGGGTATCGGGTGCATAAAATGAACTAAATAAAAATAAGAGAGGATAGTGAAGCTTGCCAAGGTGTTGGGTGGGTACGAGCGCCAGACGGCCCTGGCAACTGCCCAGAGGCGCTCATTGTGACGTTAGTGGCCGGCCCCTCCTGGTCTCCCGGGGTCTCCCTCTCTCTACCGAGGCTCTTTACAGAGGTCTGCATCTCTATGCATCGCATTTATCTAGTATATCTAGATAAATCTAGTATATATATACATCAGTATAGATATACTAGATATCTAGATTTAGATATACTATACTAATTTAGATTAAATTATAATTTAAATCATACATAACTGATATACATAAGTATAGTTTACTTATGTAAATTTATATACTTATATAAATCTTATTTATCTTAGATAAATCGTAATTATCTTATATAAATCTTATTTATATACTTATATAATATACTATACTATAAGGCTTGTTCGCACTTATATCCTGAAGTATATAGTCAGATATAGCTTATCTGTTGTATAGATAAACTCTCTTTATCAATACTATCTCGGGGTTGAATTACCACAGCATCAGTGAGATTCAGTGTCGAATACATCATCAATGAAGATTTAGTATCGAGTCAAAGTTTACTATCGACGTATATTTAGTTGTATTTATTTATAGGCAATAAGAAAAGCAAACCTCGGTTATTACAAAAATATATATTGACACATTGCCCCGAAATGTCCAGCACAGCTGAAACACAAATCCATGAACACATATGCGTTCAGTTTACAAATATCGTAAACAATATCTTAATATGTAATAAATATCGATGATAGTCTTACAAATATGTAAATACAAAGATATATTCTTAAATCATATTCTTTGGTGAATAAAGTATTAAATTGTTTTCAAAATAGTTTAAAGATTCAAATAAATAATGAAAACTTGGTTGGCGTTAGGAAATAAATGCTCCGTACAGTAACTCATATCCAGTGATGAGTCCACTGCGAGCCCCAACAGCTTATTACGACTTTTCCACCCTCTTCTCCAGCAACATGAGTTGTTCACGAATCTCGTTCGGGAGGTCGTCACCAACCTGCTCGTCAAAGTATTTAGCGACGTCGCGTACTTCATGTTCCCAGAACTCCTTGGGAATACTGAATAACTCGTCCATATCAACACTCTCCTCGAGCCCGGACAAGTTCATGGAAGACGCCTTAGGCAAGAGTCCAATGGCGCTTTCTTCGGCCACCTCCTCTCCGTCAACTCTCCTCAAGATCCAGTCCAATACACGCACGTTATCCCCGAAACCTGGCCACAGGAAGCGCCCCTTCTCACTCTTGCGGAACCAGTTCACGTGGAAGATCTTGGGAAGAGGCTTGTCTGTGCGAGTCTCCATGCTCAACCAGTGCTGCAGGTAGTGGCCGAAGTTGTAGCCGAAGAATGGTCGCATGGCGAAGGGGTCGTGCATGATTACCTTGCCCTTGAATTCTGCTGCTGCAGTTGCTTCTGACCTCATAGCTGCCCCTACCATCACGCCGTGTTTCCAGTTGTAAGCTTCGTACACTAGAGGCACTCCCTGGGGACGTCTTCCTCCAAACAGAATGGCAGAGATGGGGACGCCCTTAGGGTCTTCCCATGCAGGGTCAATGATGGGACACTGGCCAGCAGGAGTGCAGAATCTGGAGTTAGGGTGAGCAGCTGGCTTGCCAGATTCTTTACTCCAGTTCGAGTCTCCAAGCCATGATGTGATGGTCACATTGTTAGATATTTCCTTCTCCATCCCTTCCCAGAACACGCCTCCGTCACTTGTCTTGGCAACGTTGGTGAAAATCGTGTTAGACATTACTGTCTTCATGGCCACAGGGTTGGTTTGCATGGAAGTGCCGGGAGCCACACCGAAGAACCCATTCTCGGGGTTGATGGCACGCAAAACTCCGTCCTCGTCAAACTTCATCCAGGCGATGTCGTCTCCCACACATTCCACTTTGTAGCCTGGCAGTGAAGACGTCATCATGGCCAAGTTGGTCTTGCCGCAAGCAGAAGGAAACGCGGCAACAATGTATTTCTTCACGCCCTCAGGATTGGTTATGCCCAGGATGAGCATGTGTTCAGCCAACCAGCCTTCCCGTCTGGCAATGGTAGAACCAATACGTAAAGCAAAACACTTCTTGCCCAACAGGGAGTTACCTCCATAACCGGAGCCGAAGGAAATGATCTCGTTAGTGTCAGGCACGTGAGTGACGATGGTTCGTGCAGGGTCACAAGGCCAGTTGTTGACTAGAGGCTTCTTAAGGGGCAGAGGGCAGCCGACGGAGTGAAGACACTTGACGAAGTCATCTTCGCCCAGAGCCTCCAACACCTTACTGCCCATTCTCGTCATGGTTCGCATAGAGGCCACAACATAAGGAGAGTCCGTGACCTCGACGCCAATCTTGGAGAGTGGAGAACCCACGGGACCCATAGAGTAGGGCACTACGTACATGGTCCTGCCGGCCATACACCCGGGAAAACGCTCTTGTACCGCAGTCTTTAGATCCTCTGGAGACATCCAGTTGCCAAGGAGGCCCTTGACGCCCTCCTTGGGTGTTGGGATGGTCTCTCTTCGGTCTTTAGTAACGATGAAAGTCTTACCCTCCACGCGAGCAACATCTCCGGGATCAGTGCGGGCCAACCAGCAGTTCTTGTACTTGGGGAGATACTCGATCATGCCGGCCTGCTGCATCACGTTCAGCAGGTGATTCATCTCACGTTCACTGCCATCACAGATGTGCAAGTTCGCCGGCCGACAGAGACGGGCGCTCACCTCCACGAAATTTCTTACCTGTTAAATGAGAGTTTTATTATAGCCTCCATAGCTTATTCAATGTGTGGGAAGTTTACAGAATTGCAGTAGGGGTCAGAAACTGCACTTCACAATTCTTTTACCAAAATACTGTATAAAAAATACGCTGATCGAAAAAAAATCCCACTATTCTGATAACGATAAACTATTTAAATTAATGTAAAACTTGTAAATAATCTGACTTGCCCCAGACATGACTAAAAGTAACAGACTGACTGAGGGACGAACTTTGAAGTAAAGACTCGCCTTAGAGCTGAGGTCAGAGAGCTGGCCCTGGATGACTAGGATTTCGAAACTTTCGATGTCGAGGTTCACTTTAGCTGCCTGGGAAGCCACCCTGGAGGCCTCGATCAGCACGCTATTCAGCCTGAGACAAAGTAACACGAATGTTTAGCAACCTAAATCCCCGTTGTAAGTGTTATTCCTACTTAATAGAGTAACCGATTGTATCGAAGGCCCCAGTAGGGGTTACTTCATTCCTAACTCAATATTACATGCCCCAGCAAACTTGTAACACGTTTGAGACTCATCATTGACATTTCTAGTTATAAAAACAGTAATAATTCAAGTAATAAATTACAGTTCATTACCAAGAAGTAATGAGAGTTATGTCGTTTGACATGAAAGATATGTACATAAAACATTTTTAGTGTGTGGGCGTTAAGATGTTTACATAAAATATTTACAATAAAAAATACTCCAACATCTGATGGGTATACATATGGGCTGCCTTGCAATAGGCCTTGTAAAGCTTTAGTTTTCTCTATTATAATACTTTTATAACTTGAAATATCTTCAAGTTATAAAGAAATATCTTCAAGTTATAGAGTCCCAGACCCTCACAAGGTGAGGGTCTGGGACTTTAATTAGAGTTTGGGTTTGTTGAACAGTTGAGTAAGTTGACTTACTTAGGTCCCTCCATAACGTTGTCGACCGAGTCCTCGGCTGTGAAGACCATGTTGAAGTTTGATGATGGTGGGTGGTATGTTCAGAGTCTGGATGAAAGCTATATGCTCATAGCTCGTCCGACTTGCTTGACTCTAGGAGGTGAAGTACGCTCCCTCACTCCGGCCGGGGCTTATATTGGCCTTAGCCGGTGGAAATCCTCCGGCTCTGTGACGTCAAGGTGACGTGTGACCGGGGACTTTGAAGTCTCCGGTCATGGCTTACCAGACAGACTTCAGACGCTGAGATAACACACTCGGGGAGCTTAACACATATTAACGGAATTTTCCCCCTTTGACTAATGTATTTGCAAGGATGAAGAATGTTGTATATTCTTGAATAACTCGTTCAAATTGAACCTGTGTAGTGACGCGCCGTGATTGCTGTTCACCGGAGCGCGAGCCACACCACCTTCCACAAAACCAGTCACTGTCGGATATGGAAACTCCACAGACTCAATGAATACAATGACGCCCAGCATTTCCTGCCCGGTGGAATTTGATCAATTGGAGAGCTAAGATTTTCTTGGGATTGTACACACAAGCTAAGCTTTTACATTGTGTGCTTATATCAGTTACGTCGGACTTGTCGCAAGAGGCTGATAACAGGTACAGTGTCTGATGTTTGTGTGTGTATACATGGAAGTGCATGGTGCATCTCGTATATAATATAATGTGTATATACATATAATGTATACATTATATATAATATATACATTTATATAGTCTAATATATTAAGAATAATATATTCCATAATTGTTTCAAGCGTAGGCTTGAAACAATTAAGTGGATATAAATAGGAATTGGGTGGATATAAATAGGCGCTGCCTCGTATGGGCCAATAGGCCTTCTGCAGTTACCTTTAATTTTGTGTTCTATGTTCTTATAACTGCAGAAGGCATATTGGCCCATTCGAGGCAGCTACTGTTTATATCCACCCAATGCAGGCGATGAGTCACAATAACGTGGCTAAAGTAAGTTGACCAGACCACACACTAGAAGGTGAAGGGACGACGACGTTTCGGTCCGTCTTGGACCATTCTCACAATCGACTTGAGAATGGTCCAAGACGGACCGAAACGTCGTCGTCCCTTCACCTTCTAGTGTGTGGTCTGGTCAACTATATCCACCCAATCTCATTCATATATATGTCTGACCTACGCTTGGAATAATCAAGGTATCCTGTTTCTATTATGTTACGCGGTAATTGACAAATCAACGACCCTGTGACCGAAACCCAGATCTTTCCTAAATCTAAACTTATCCAATTTATACCCATTGTTTCGTGTTCTGTCTTGTGTTGATACTTTTAATACCCTATTAATATCCCCTCTTATTTTCGTTCTTAAGTTCATTCTTCATTCTTGTGTTCTAATCCACTCGTCTTTTACACCGTTTTAAATCAGTGTTCCCCATGTCCTTCCTGAATCTGAACTACTTATTGTCATTGGTACGGGTTTTGATCTGATAATTTCAAGACCTTGATCTTCTCTCTCCCGTGTTGATGCCTCCCCACATCCTTGATGACTTTGATCATATCTCCCCCGCCTCGTCTGCAGGGGATGTAATGCCCAGCTCCCCCAAACTCTCCTCTTAGGAGGAGAGTTTTAAGATGGTCAGTGTCGAGAGTTTCAGACCTCTGTTTATGTCTAGTTTATGCCGCTAACCTAATCCACTTGAAAACCTGGATCATATCTCCCCCTATCCTACGTCTCTAGCGAGTACATAATGAGACCTCAATCTTCGTAGAAAAGGTCCCCGATACTAGAAATCAATTGTGCATTTAATTCTAAATTTTGTTCTACCAGAAATCGTGACCAAATATCCTAACTTTGTTTACTTTAGGGAGTGTATGGACGTGAGTCTGGACTTTCCACCGCTGCAGCTGGGTGTGTGGGGGGGCATTATAAGAACATCATATTGTATGTAGCTACCTCACCGTAAATGTAAACTGCGTAGCTTAGAGACTGTTGTGGTTCAGCTCGTGATCTTATTGTTGATATATACATTAAATTATGTAACTATAGTTTACCAAGACTGCAATTTGCTTAACCCAATGAAGAATAGGGTTCAGTTGCTGAGACCTTTGCGTGCCTCTGTAACCTTTCACCACCACCCACAGAACGGATACACGTGGTACGTAATGAACTAAACTAATTTCTGCGTTTTGTCTCTCTGGAGTCTTTGTCCATTCTATATAATGCAGGCGATGAGTCACAATAACGTGGCTGAAGTATGTTGACCAGACCACACACTAGAAAATGAAGGGACGACGACGTTTCGGACTGTCCTGGACCATTCTCAAGTCGATTGTGATTGTGCTCTCATTCTCATGAGTGCACAATCGACTTGAGTATCAAGTACAAGACCAAAACAAGACAGAACACGAAACAATGGATATAAATTGGATAAGTTTAGATTTAGGAAAGACTTGGGCAAATACTGGTTCCGTAACAGGGTTGTTGATTTGTGGAGCCAATTACCGCGTAACGTGGTGGAGGTGGGGTCCCTCGATTGTTTCAAGCGTGGGTTGGACATGTATATGAGTGGGACTGGGTGGTTATAGATAGGAGCTGCCTCGTATGGGCCAATAGGCCTTCTGCAGTTACATTTGTTCTTATGAATAGGCCAAATTAAGAACATAGGTACAAAGGTAACTGCAGAAGCCCTATTGGCCCATACGAGGCAGCTCCTTTTTATAACCACCCAGTCCCACTCATATATAAATGTCCAACCCACGTTTGAAACAATCGAGGGACCCCACCTCCACCACGTTACGCGGTAATTGGTTCGAAATTACCAGCTAACTTTCCTAAGGCTAACAGTTAAATAACTGTTTGTCCTATTTGTAAAACTTATGTGACAGAAAATGGATAGATTTAAATAGGAAATGCCTTATATAGCTCCCTGCCCTATAGTGTTCCGTTACGACATGTGGACGGTCCCGATTGATGATTGATGAAGGTTAATCCACCCAAAAGGTGGCACGGGCATGAATAGCCCGTAAGTGGTGGCCCTTTTGAGCCATCACCAGTATCAATAGATGATACTGGAGATCTGTGGAGGTGCGACTGCACCCTGCGTGACGGGAGATGTCTCCCTTATGAATGTGTTAATGTGATGAAGCAACCCAAAAGGTGGCACGGGCATGAATAGCTCGTAAGTGGTGGCCCTTTTGAGCCATCACCAGTATCAATAGATGATACTGGAGATCTGTGGAGGTGCGACTGCACCCTGCGTGACGGGAGATGTCTCCCGGACCAAATGGTGACCAGATGGTGAGGACGGTCCCGGTACACCAGTCCTTTGCCCCAGGAATTCGTACTTAGCGTATGACTGGTCCAGAGGAACCAGTCCACTGCTGTCGTTAGATTCAGCATTATCAGTAAACCCCAAGACATTGGTACCCTGCCCTCAGACTGCCTCCCGGACCTCCTGATAACACCCCGGCTGTGTCTTGTTCGGTACACCACTGATAAAGAGAGATAAGAGGAAGATAATTATATGGGAAATTCATCGGCTATCACGGGAGGATATTTGTTGACTTTGGTCGTCTAGAGAGGGAGTAACCACTCCCATTTATAACCACCCAATGAGTGGGATTGGGTAGTTATAAATAGGAGCTGCCTCATATGGGCCAACAGGCCTTCCGCCGCTACCTTTGTTCTTATGTAGTGGGAGCTGGCAATGATGATGCGTGGTAGTGAGGGGTGCAGCTACAGTAATAATACTCTACCCAAGTTCTATACGTGGAACAAAAGTTCCAAGTAGCTGAATCTAAAACAAGTCACCCTACTGATATGAAGCAACGTTCTAATCCTCTTGGTAACACCCAGCTCTCTCCCAAGCACCTGCCTTTCTCCGGCCCGGCAGAGGCGCCGGAGTGTCTGGTAAGGCGGCCGTGAGAAGAGTCCCCGGAATCTAACCGGAAGCAACCTTCCTGAACCAACAAAACTGTAATTAACGAGAGCAATATATCCTTCATACAAACATTATAAACAAAAAACACAGCGCGATTACGCGATTAAATAGAAAAGGACTCCGAGGTGTAAACAAAGAATATAAATTGGTAAATGAGCAAGACGGAAAAATAACAGAAGTGGTATTAATCTAGTGGGGAAGGTTGACGTCACCGGCAACTCTTGAGGGCTGGTTCCAGCCAGATGACGAACGCGTCACACTACTGGGAAAGGTTTGTAATGTCCTTTGACTCCTTCCAGGAAAATTATCAACGAACGTGGCTAGGTAAACTAAAACCAGCGAAAGCATGTCCTTTTAACGTGACGAGAATGTATTTGCTATCATTTTATAACCAGTATAGTTGAGGCAGTTGATAGTGGTAATGATTGTGATGTTGTCTACCTTGACTTTACCAAAGCTTTTGATACAGTGCCACATGAAAGATTGATTAAAAAGATAACCGCTAATACCGTGAACCTTTATCTTGAGATGATTTCGGGGCTTATCGTCCCCGCGGCCCGGTCCTCGACCAGGCTTCCTTTTTGTTACACACCCGCAGGAAGCAGCCCGTAGCACCTGTCTACCTCCCAGATATCTATTTACTGCTAGGTGAACAGGGGCACCAGGGTGAAAGAAACTCTGCTCCATTTTGTTTCCGCCTTCACCGGGGATCGAACCCGGAACCTCAGGACTACAAATCCTAAGTGCTGCCCACTCAGGTGCCAGGCCCCCTTTTGCTATAATAGTTTGGATTTGGGCATGACTATACCAAAGGAAACAAAGGATTAGTATAAATAAATGGGATTAAGTCAGAGTTGTCTATACCAAAGGAAACAAAGTTAGTATAAATGTGACTTAAGTTAGTGGGAAAATGTAAGTGGAGTGTCTCAAGGCTCTGTCCTGGGGCCTCTGTTATTCATAATATATGTAAATGATTTAGTTTCAGATTTAAGCAGCAATATTTGCAAATTTGCCGATGATACAAAAATCGGAAGGGAAATAAAATCGGAAAAAGACTCCCTATCACTTAAAGACGATCTCAATAGTTTTGAAATGGTCAAAAGACTGGGAGATGCAGTTTAATGCTGACAAATGTAAGGTTTTGAGGCTTGGTAATGATGATAGTCAAAAGATACGAGCTAGATGGTGTTGAGATTGCGAAGTTAGATTGCAAAAGAGATCTAGGAGTTATGATTAGCAAGAATTTCAAACCAAAAAATCAATGCATAAATGTTCAAAATAAGGCAAATAGGACACTGGGATTTATTTGTTGTGTTTTTAAAAGTTTTTTTTACATGATTACTCTATAGCGAGTAAACATTACTCACTCCAGTCTCTCATTACCTTAATGAGACTCATTAGCACTAATTATGACTACTCAAATCCTTTCCCTAATTACAGGTAACATTCTTTCCATCCTATTAGAGGAAACTGAGGTGTTGTCCAATAATATAAGCAGTCAAGAAGCGAGTAGGCCTCGTACGGGCTATTCATGCCCGTGCCACCTCTTGGGTGGCTTAATCTTTATCAATCAAGTAGGCCTCCACAGATTTCCAGTATCAGCTATTGATACTGGTAATGGCTTCAAAGGGCCACCATTTATGGGCTATTCATGCCCGTGCCACCTTTCGGGTGGCTTAATCTTCATCGATCAATCGGCGAGTGGGCATCAGTTTAATTTCCACAGTGATTCAATTAACTTTAGTACAGACGCTTTGGAGTTACCACACCTCTTCAACCTCAAGAATGTAAAACTCGGTGTATGCAGTTCTAATCGACCCCAAGACGCTCCAGCTTCTACACACAGCAGACTACGACCGCATCGAGTTTAGACACTCGCCACCCCCATCGAGTTTAGACACTCACGATTTCCCATCGAGCCGCCACGCTTGACGACATTGAGCTCTGCGACTCCGGCCTCACTCGGCTCTGCTCCAAGCTCCGTCTCAACGTCTACAACACTGCTGTATCCAAGACTACTAAATAAATATGAAACCCTACTAAACTCTGTGTATCTAATCTACCCAACAACGTAACATAATCGTCCATTACAACTCCTAGATCTTTTACATTGCACTTTCATTTTATAGTATGATTTTACTGTGTTTTATGTGTTTTCCATTTTTGTAGAGTTTGTTTTTTCAATGGCGCAGGGGCTGTAACTTATCCTTGTTAAACATCATATTTTCTGTGGCCCATTGAAAGACCTGACTTACATCATATTGGGGTTTGCCGTGTCCTCTATACTGTCTACGCTTATAAAACATGTAGTGTCACCTGCAGAGGATGTGGTACTATAGTTTGTGTCCTTGTTTATGAGAGAGTACTGGAGCAAAGGAAAGTCTCAATTCTTTCAATGCTTTATTCTTTCAAATTTTGCTGAATTACATTTTTGGCCTTAACTTTGGTAATGAATCGGTAGACTTGTCTTCAGTCACTACATGAGAAATATATTTACTATACAACTCTTTTTGTGATGTTTCAGGTAAACCAGAATCTTTCAAGTGTTGTTCCAGCCACATGGACAGTGCAAACCTGCAAAACCAAAATGAATTTACTAAAATTAGACATTAAATTAAAAAAAAATAGAATATAACAAAAAAATACCTTACTTCTGGATTTAAATGTTTGGAAAATGTTATACAGTAGCCCTTTATGAATAACCCAGAAATTTTAATTGAATAATGTATTTCTGGGATGGACCCCCTCACCGGTTCTGTGATGCTAGCTGTCTGGTTAGCACCGGGAAGCCATTGAGGAGACCAGTAAGACATGTTTCATTATAGTAAACACTGGATTTATATTGCATATAAGAGAAAAAACAGAATCAATGAAAACTAAAGACCAAGTACTGAACCAAACAATCCATAATCATGTAGAGTTAGTCACAGTAACAGAAATAAACAATACTGTACATCCAAACATTAAAAAACAGTAGAGATATACTATTTGGTATGTACTGGATAAGTTCTGACAGATAATAATCCAGGATGGATCAAAACATTGTCACTTGGCTTGTTTCTAAAGTATGAGGTTATTGTTGATGTAATCACGGATTTTGGATGGTAGTTAAGAGATTAAGAGAACAGCATGAAGTAGACTAAAGACAAAGCATACCTGGCTTCTCGACCAAGAATTATACTAAAATATACTGTGAGAGCTCGGTAATCGGAATTACGGTAACCCAACTCTTCGGGCAAACCAGATAAATTTGAGTTCGAATTTTTGACTGTTCAACTCTATTAAAAACTTTGATTATTGTACTGAGATTTCTTCTGCCAATCAAAAATCAGAATAATTTTTTCATTTTTGGACTTTTCTAGGTAAAAAGGTATTTAACCCTAATGTCCAGCTAACTCGAATAGTGGGTGGGCCCTCATATAATTCAGATTATCGAGCAAAGACAGTATATAACCTTGAGTAAAGGGAAGAACCCTGATATCCCTTTCCTTTAATGCAATTAAAAATCTGAATCCAGAAAACTCCTGATTCTATGTGAGGATGTGTCACTTTACACCTCGCATCAAACCAGAAGACAGTGTTCTGTTAAGAATTTCATGGGGAAATCAGGATACATTATATGACCAAGAATTTAATTACAGAACCTTTAAATTAAAATTACAGTCAAATGTTAAGGTTAATTATTATCAACAAAATGCAGTGCACAATTCAATTTATATAATATTTGTGCATTGACAGGGACAAAAAAAATGGAGACATCACTGCCAACACCCAAGTGTGAGCTGGTACTTCAAAACTTGGATTGTGTTACTGGATGGTGCCTTCCAAATTCCATGTAAGTACTCTAGTACAGTACTTCTGATTGATATCCATTTGGCCCATCATGGCCCATTTGGTAGTGTGCGTGCCTGCGGAGTTCAGGGATGCAGGTTCGATCCCAACTTACATGTTCAATATTTGCTCAAGATTTACCAAACTACCTCCCCAAAAATAGCATAATTTTTAGCATGTGTAAAAATAGACTGTTAAATTCAACCATGTAGAACCAGAGCCTACTGTATATGGTGCATAAATATATTGACTAACCTGCTTCCTGTGGTAATTCTCTCAAAATTCAGATCACTGCTTTCATCTGATTCTTTCAGAATAGATGCTGCTATGGTGCTTGCAGCATGTTCTACAAAAATAAAATTTAAAGTAGTTAGTATTATCTGATATCTTGCTCCCTCCTCAAACTCAAGACTTCATTGATATAAAATAAAAAATAAAAAAGTGTTCCTTTTATGCACTAGTGACTTCAAAGATTTTATCATCACTGTACAAGTACAATAATGTCGGCTTAATAACTTAAAATAACTGAATTGGAAAATTTTATGTTCAATAACAACTACAATAATTTACGTTCCTAAAAGTTAATTAAGACTATCAAAGCATCAAACCATAAAAATCAAAGAACATTACTTTCCTGCTTTTAGTATATCAAAAAATTTCAACATTATAACCCAAGAACATTCTCCTAATACAGCAAGCAAAGTATATTTATTGACACACCTCCTTCCTTATTGACAAGTGTAATGTAGACTTCATCCTGTGAGACATTCCCTGTGCTTTGGCTCTGATATTGCTCTGCAAACTTGGTATTCCACACTGCTAACTTGATGAGGTCCACAGACATCCATACAGCAGCATCAACTTCCTCTGGACATAACTTGCAAAGATTTTTACAGTGTGAATAAAAGTACCTTGTCATAAAGTAATTGTCAGAAAAACTTCTGACAATTGATTACTTGATTTATGTAAGCTATTTAACAAATAATTAGTATGTGCATTTTCTCTTAGAAATGATAAACTTGCATGTTATTTTGGTTAAGAAAATTAAATTTATGAATGGAATCCAAAAACATAGTTATATGCATTCCTAACTATGCTCAATACTCCTATAATTGTTTAGGTAATTTCTTCCCCTTTTTTATATTCCACTCCAAGACCTTGCTTTCCCAAGGGTGTGCCCCATCATACTGTCCTTCAATACATTCATAATCAAATAACTCGAGTATCCATCGGTACTCTTCATAATCACACTTATTATCCCAAAATCTTTAATCAACCTTTATTTTCTACTGTCTATGCCTATTTCTTGAACGTGCACTCTACTAGCTTTTCTACATCATTTTCTTTTAATATTACTAGAAACCAATACAGCTGAATTCCAGTTTTGTGTGTATATATTTTAAGCAAACTAACCTAAGCTATCTAAATATTAGGGCATTAATAAATGCAAAGCACTCAAGGTGCTATACTAATAAGCTTCAAAAGCTTCAAGATCACTCTAGACTAGATTGAGCTTTTCTCCAGTGCATCATTAGCATTGGTATAAAAGATACACGAGTCGGTGCAGCCAGATTTACAACCTTGGGTTGTAAACCTGACTGCACTGTTGAATTCCAGTGCAGTTGGTTCACAACCAAATGGTCGTGAATTAAATTTGTGTGTAGAATGGAGGCATTTGGGTACATTTTCATGCTCTTGATGTCTCTGCTTACTGACTAAATAAGTATCTGTGGGTTATTCAACGGTTGTGTGGGAAATGCTTGGGAAGGCAAGTTGCGAGCATAGAGGGAACTTGATTAATCTAACAGCTTTCCGGTCCCTCAACAATGGCAAACCATGTTGCAAAATTTAGTAAATCAAAAAATTATGTTGAGTATTAAATATGGTTTTGACATATTGAATAAATTTATGATTGTAGTCAATGAGTGTTTTTGAAAAAAAAAAAAACTGAAGATTAGAAGAAAAGAGGAAGTTCAAGAAGATATACAGACATAGCGAGTGTGAGAGGAAGTAAGGAATGACTGAATAGCACACAAGAAGGGGTGACAGTATACTGTACATATATTGCTACAGAATGCAATGTGAATGATATAGAATTACATGAGATTATCATAAAGAATATGGCTAACTTCTTCACATTAGCTGGCAATCTAGTATGGGGCAGTGGTTTAAATGGATTCAAATTTGGAGTAACATTTAAAGTTTGGGAGGAATTTAGAATCTGTTTTGGTTGCCTACAAGAAGTAACAATTCACAGAAAAGCAGTTCACCTTAAAACGATATTTCCTGGTCACCATATCACCTGTCTACTACTCACTGGTCAGCATGAATACAAGCTCGAAAACACCTACTTACCAGCCAATTTATGTTCATTTTTTAATCCAATAAAGCTAAATCCACTCAACGCAACACTGCCACAAACACCAGCCAGTAATCAGGCGAGTTTGACTCCCAATGATCCACCACCACTTGCACCCTTGAACGGTAATGTTCCACAGTCACTACCTTGTCTTCATGTGAAAATCACCTCAACTGCATCTCTTAGAGATGATTTTTGATTTGATTTGATTGTACATAAGTACTATATTTATACATTTTGAACAGTTACAGTAATATTCATACCGTATTGTTAAGAATACACATTATTTTTAGACGAGTGAAAAAGTAAATGGGACTCTGGGAGGCCTCTAGAATACAACTCGACTCTATATTCCTCTATAAATTTGTACTGCATTTAATTAGCTCATAATGCATAAATTCAGGTTTTTTTATTGTTAAATTACCTTAAACTGTTTTTGAAGCTCTTCTGAGGTTCTCTGAAGGGTTATATGTAAGTATATAACAACATGGTGCCTTTTTGGTTGACCCAGTTCTAGTAGTGGGGGATATACCGACTCCCAAAGACCCAAGATGTGAGCATTCTGACGTTCTTCCAGTGTGACTAAGAGACCTGTTTCTTCCTCCAGCTCTCTTAATACTGCATCTTCCAATGTCTCTCCTTTCTCTGCAATACAACTTGATTTTAATTAGCCACAATTTTAGATTAACAATACAGAAGCTAAATGAATGTAAAGAAAATTGCAGACAAGAGCAAGGAACAAATTTGCTTAAGGCTTCATCAATGTGGATCCTTCAAGATGAAGCCACACTGGTTAAAATATTGAATACATTGAGATCCTAGATTTGCTATGCATCTTGGAGCAGACTACAAGAATATGAAGAACAAGATACAAAAAAACAAAACTTAAATTTTCCATTCAGCAATTACTTTTTTCACAATTTTTTTCTTATATTTTTTTCTACTTTTTGCTGCCAATTTGTGTTTGTAGTGTAGTGCTCACTGTGACCAGTAGTACTCAGTCTTAATTATCCCATAAAATAGGATCAAAATTATAATAAGTTGTTTTTAACTTGATTTATAAAGAACACAGAATTTCATACATCATGCTTTTATGTACTGTACTGGCTAATGTTACTATAGTAATTTTCACTTTAGAAATATTAATACTGAACAAATTTACAACATACCCACATGACCACCAGGAGGTACCCATAATCCTGCAAAGGTCCGCATGTGTGCCGCCCTTCTGGTTAGCAGCAGGTGTTTGTCGCTGGACTCCAGAAGAACTGCTACACCAACATCTACCCCTCGTGTGATTATCTCGTGTGGCAATGCAGCGGAGCCTTCCTCATCCAGGTGTTGAATGGGGCAGAATGGTGGATGCTGCAGAGAAAAAACATTATTAGACATATTTGAAGAGTGCCATACTGTTAACTGTATTAATTTACTATCGTTATGAAATTGACCATACAAGTTAAAAAAAATTAAGTAAGAATTACTAAAATATTTTAGATCTTCGGTAGTTTAGACTTATGAGACTAAAGGAGTTTTACTGAATAGATTATATGCTACAGAAATAGAGAGATAAGGCTTAATAGCAGTCCCTGTGGTGCAGTGATAGTGCACTAACCCTGCATTTCGTGAGCGCTTTGGCCTGGGTTCATATCCTGGCAGGGAAGGATCGACTAAGCACAAATCCTTAGCTGTACACCTATTCACCCAGCAGAACTCTTGTGCTAGTTTTGTTCTGGATCAACAGATGTGGCTTGCAGTATAAATAATACTGTAATTCTTATAGATAGGACACTTTACGGTGTCAAAACTAAGGATACAATCTAATGTCTCGCTGTGGACAAGACCAAAATCTGCTTAGGCGAGTTGTTGGCACTAGAATGAAATCTCGGTGGGATGCTGGAGCCATGCTCTGATCCTTGTTTGGCCTGGACAAATCAGAACAGTTCCCTCAAGACGTGGATGAGTACTCTGTTAAACAGGTACTCCTATGATGGTGCTGAGGAGTCAGCATCCTATGAAGTATATCATCAGGAGTTAGAGGGAAGCCATGTAGCATAAAGTTCATTTTGATTCCTCATTGTGCTGGATGAGTCTCTGGTCTCACAACTGACATTTACTTTTAGCATGTTTTGTAACACTGATTTCATGACCATTGTCAGGTAATACTTACCATGATCCTGTATTGCACAGACTTCTCATTGGGTCCTGAAGAATCAGTATTGTTACTATTCTCTGAATCTGGACACTGAAGCAGGAGCTGATTATTCTCTAAAGTGCACTCAACAAATCCATCACCAGAAAGTCCTAAGTGGTCCAGTATGCATTTGTTGAACTTGGCTAACTTGTATGCTGTCTGAGATGTCTTACGCAGGTGAACGAGGACCTTCAAATAGTTGGTGCTTGCCGTGCCTAAAAAAAAGATTATCAAGCTTTATATATATGTATATAATATTACCATAATTACATTTATTTAAAACAACATTATTACTGTCAATGCATTAACAGTGTAGTATCAAAATATTATCACACTTATAACCCTGCATGTTCTGCTATCTGCAAGCTAACCACTTCTAAAATGGCTGAGTCAACATGAGCCAACCAACCTGATAGTGCTTCTTACTAATAGGTAATGACTGAGATACCGAACATACTTATATGGTACTGTACAGTAATGTGTATATGATCCAATTTAAAAACAAATCCAATAGCCACAACATTGCAATTTTGTCCCACTTAAACTGTATTTCTAATTACCAGATTATTTCAGATATGCACATGTCATAATACAGTAATGTGTTGACAAAATGGTAATACTACTATTAAAAACAAATTTATTGGTGTGTAAGACCCCCCCCCCCCACCTCTCTAGGCACTGATATTGTTATCAGCTATACGCATAAATTGTTATATATTGTTATATAAGTCTTCAGGGCAAATGGGGAGACCTTAGACATGCTGCCGGGTTCCTAGCCTCGTCGATGTCACTAGTGTATTAATGGACCTCGTGTACATTCAGGTAAATTCAGGTCTTCCTCCTACCAGCCATGTCCAAGAACGTGATGCTGTAGGTTGAGAGGCGACGATGATAGAGGGATCTGAGGCCAAGATTGTTATTGTTGTGATAAAAACGCTCGCTTGTGAGGCCATGTTAGGTTTCCATTTTCTTTGGTTGTCAATTTTAGGATAAATTGTAATAATAATAATAATTTATTTAGGAACAGTACATACATAGTTGCAGCGTTACAGTACAGACATTCTGTTAGATTTAAAGATAGAGGTAGTACATACAATACCTAAAGCCACTAGTACGCATAGCGTTTCGGGCAAAAATAAAACTTTTCTATTACAGTTTACTAGTTTACCAAAGAAAACTATTCTTTACAAGAATATTGTATTTATTTGAAATTGGTTTTATTTAGTGGTGATACATTTGTTTGAATTTGGTTCTCGTATTATGTCTGAAGCAGTGTAATAGCAAGTGCTATATTTTATATTGGACTATGTAGTTACCGAGGAAAGTTCTCTCAGGGACAAAATTCACAACTTTTCGTCAAACAATTTAAAGAAAAGTTTTAATTCTTTGTAACTTGGGTTGATACAAAGGACCCACACAGGCGCTCCAACACCCTTTACCTGAATTTACCTGAGGGACACTAACAATAGTGGCCTCGACGAGTATATGAAGCCGGACAAAGCCCCAGGTGTGGATCAAGCTGATCAGACTGTAGTTTTTTGCTCTTTTTAATAGGGGTGACATTTATATATTTCCAATCTAGGGAAACTATCCCTTGGTCCAGAGATTTTGTGAAAAGTAGTTTCACCGGTAGACATAATTCTTCTGCCAGTTCCTTTATGACTTTAGACTGGATTCAGCGCGTACTAGTGGCTTTACAAGAATGTTAACACCATGCTATGTATCCTCACAAACCCAATGTACCTTCTTGTGTATATATATATAAATAAATAAATAAATCCACACCTGGGGCTTTTGAGTCTACAGAGTGTCTCGGTGTTGGTGGAGTAAGCGACCCGTGCTGTCAGCCAGCTGGGAACCTCCTCCTTACTTCCCCTCACACGCCTCACTTCTCACTCTCACCTCTCACCTCTCACACCTCATTCTCTTGTGAGGGGCTGACGGTAGATCATCATCTTCCCCGAGAGGTGTCGTGGAGGACCGGGAGACACGCGAGATATGACTCTTAAGGCCTTTGACTTGGTTTCTGTGCTGGATAGAACAGACCTTAAGGTCGGTGTTGTAAATTGTTTTCCCCATTGTAAAAGTGTTTGTAATAAATTGACTGTAAGGATGAGTTTGTAAACGAGCCTCAGGTTATGATATTAGTGGGAATACAAGACTGTGCATATTTCCTGTATTTAAATCTGGTTAATTTGGCCAAGTTAATTTTATTTACAAGATACTGTACATTACATTTTTTATCAATTTTGTGGTACATATAGACTGTTTATATTAGGGCAATGGATAGCTGCAAATTAATTAATGTGAATAAATTGTAGTTAAATTCATGATGACCAAGCCATACATCAGAAAATGAAGAAATAATGATGTTTACGTATGTCCCGAACCATTATCAAGTTGTGTGATAATCACACAACTCGATAATGATCCAGAACAAACTGAAATGTCGTCGTTTCTTCATTTTCTGGTGTGTGGTTATCATATCTTTAGCCATGTTAATGGTGTTGTGCTACATGAACTCCAAATAGTCATCGGTCCCCGTGGCGCAGTGGTTAAACACTCGCTCGGTCCTTCACGAGCACTTTGGCATAGGTTTGTATCCTGGCCAGGGAGGATGGACCGTGTGCCAATCCCTAACTGTAGCCTCTGTTTACCCAGCAGTGAATGGGTACCCGGTTGTTAAACGATTTGGCGGGTCGTATTCCGGGGAAAATTAGGATTAGGTACCTACCTGAGATGCTATTCATGCTAACGGCTTTACAAAAATGAAAGAACTCTTGTGTATATAAATAAATACAAATAAATAAATTTATAAAATAAAAAAGTCGGAAGACTGGCAAAATGCTTTTTAATATCGATAAATGCAAGTCCTTGCATGTGGAGCATAACACTCCACATCACAACTACCATATTAAATTAACAGCATTATCTTGGAGGAGATTGATGAAGTAAAAGACTTTGGAGTCAGAATCCATCATTCACTGAAAGTTGTACCACTTGCGGCATTATAAAAAAGCTTACCAAACCCTGGGAATAATCAAGCGTACCTTTGCCTTTAGGGAAAAGAAGGTAGTCATTCAATTGTATAAGTCTCGGGTGCAGCCCCACCTAGATTATAGCATCCAGGCATGGAGACCTCATCTTCAGAAAGACATAGCTGCTTTGGAGAAAATCTGTTCAATTTTGAAATCCAACTGGAAAAGATTAAGGCAAATAGAGGGACCTTTGACAAACTTCTGGCTTCTGGTCCTCATTGAGGCCACTAGTGTTAGTGTCCATCAGGTAAATTCAGGTAGATAAATAATGATTATTGTATACGTGTATTTGAAAATGCACAGGTTCCACTAATGTATTGGAAATAGTTTTAGCTCATATCAAGAGTTTACACATACGAGGCATTATAACTTAGGCTGTGTTTTTCCCATTATTAAAAATCTACAAGGCATGTACAAAAACATTAACATTTAACTAAGTTATGTAAATAATCAATATATAGCATGAGGTTATAGCCTGCCCATTACACATGGGGGTATGGGGAAATGGAAACTACTAAGCTTTACCTATGCTCTCTCTAATTGTACAATAATTCTTTCAGATTGAGTGTTTTGAAGCCAGTGGAAATGATCTGTACCTGGGATCAGATGGCAGGTAAGATTAACATTCTATGAAACTCGAGTTAATACTCTTTAATCTCAGGCAGTACGTATGTGTATACATAATGTATTTGTTGAATCCCAAATTTTCAAAGAGAATGCGATGCATCTCAAATTTCAATTACTGTAACTAGATGAGATACTGTAGTTTACAATTGGTTTACAAGGATAAGGCTGATGTATGATAGGGGTAAGTAAATATTTCATATACCTTTAAGCTCAACACACCACAATCTAATTCCTAAATTTTCATGAGGACCACCATCTGTCTAGTGGCCACAACAGGGACAGGAAGCCAGTGGCTTGTCAAAGGCCCCCCCCCCCTACCATGTAGAACAGACAAGATATATCTTTTCTTGGGGTAAAAAGCCCATCAAACCTCCTACTAGCCAATGCCGTAAATGACAAGACAGTGCTACATTTCAGAATAAAGCTGTTATAAACTTCAGGAAGAATGGGAGTGGGAGGTAAATTTCAGTGCACTGGCTTCCTGTCCCCATCAAGGCCACTAGAAATAGCCCTTGGATAAATTCAGTTAAAATATTGAAGAAATGTCATAATGTAGTGCTATCTGTAAGTACTATAACTATTTTGGATCCATCATGTGTTAATCATTGATCATGTGACTGTAGCATATGAAGAATTTGGTAGTGAAGCCATGAAAATGTTAGCAGAATGGGCATATTACTTCACGATTGCTGGTTTTACATTTTTCTGAGGCCACAAAAGAAATGAAAGTTAGCAACTTTGGATTTATTTTTTCTGACTAAATTTTGTAAGAATATGCATTCGTTTTATTAGTTACGTTGTATTTTATTTTTGATTGAATGTGCACATTTATGCTTGCAAATCAATTTGTTTTATTTAATATGCTTAACAAAATTGCCTGTGTAAATATAATGTGCATTTGAAGTTTATAGTCGGGTGATGCATAGGCATATTTCTCTGACACCAGTATATTTTGCAGCATTGTGGTGCATTTTCTTGTCGAAGAGCGGATGCACAATGCCACTGGCAAGATATTTTATTCCACAAACATTATTAGCCAGAAGAACCTTGGAACAGTAAGTAATTGATCTGAATTGTAATGGCAAATATTATACATGAAATGTGGTAGTAATTATTAGAACTATTGCCGCAATAAGTTCTATATCTGGTTTATAACAGTAAGTATTGTACTGTACTAAAACAGGATTGTAATGGGTAATTCTGTACTTGCAAACAAGTTGAAAGTAATGCAAGGATGTTCTTGTTCCTTGTATAGGTAGTCGACAAGGGAAATTAATTGAAGGAAGATGATGATGAAGCCAATTCCATCCACAAGTTTAAAAAGAAAGATTGTATGTTGGAAATGTTATTGTCCTGAGAAGTAATTAACTGTGCCAAGTATATAAAGGGCTGGGAGGCAGGGCATAAAGGGCTAGAGTTCATTCCCGCGTAGTCACTGGTAGTTAAATACTGTACATAGATCATAATTATAACTATGTATCATATTTTATAATCTCTAGAATTGGCTCTATAGTATATTTAGTTATCCAGGCATTATAAGATAACTTCTATATATATATATATTAGAACAGCAGGAAATTTGGATAATAAATTAATCTTCAAATGGAAAAATGCCAAAATTTTTGTGAAATTATACATTTGAGAATAATTAGAGAGTTTTAATGGAGGTGTTGGATAAACTTTGAAGTCTAATGTTGGATCAAGATAGATGCAGAGGTATCATTTTAGACCTTGAAACTACTAGAAACTTAGCTGAATCATATATGTAGTAAATTGGAAGATTATTGTGCGCCAATTTTTATATATGTAATATCTTGTGTAATCAGAAAAAGGCGGTTGTTCAGTTGAAGACTGCATCTGCCCTCAGCCGTGTTATGGCATTAAGTGATGGGAATCTGTACCTCCTTGATTCTGATGTCCTAAACACCATTGGCTCGGGCCCTAAGATCAAGAATGTCACTGTGTTCTGTGTTAATGAAAATCCAAATACACTGGACCCTTTTACTGTTCAGGTAGGTTATTGTCATTGTATATATATAACTTAAAACTGTCACCATATCCTTTGTGCATAACTGTAAATTATTTGTTTATGAATTTTTAGGGATTTAGTTCAGAATTACATTAATGGAAAACATGTACCTTACCTTGAGGTTACCTTGAGGTGCTTCTGGGGCTTAGCGTCCCCGCGGCCCGGTCGTCGACCAGGCCTCCTGGTTGCCGGACTGATCAAATGGGAAAACATAGCAATAACTTTCACACTGTTGCAGTTGTGTGTTGGTAAAAGAAGATGTATACAAGTCTGCTCTCTTCATGAAGACAGAGTCTCCTTTCTAAAAGAATTGTCAACACCGGAGCCTGTGAATGTTGCAATGGATGGAAATTTTGTATGTGTTGCAGGACAAGGGAATTATTGTGTGTTCAATGTGGAAACAGGATCCAGTCAAGATCTGTTCCCATATGATGCTACTACAACCTATCCACATGTCAAGAGAATAGCAAAGGTATTCATCTCTCATTTCCCATATGCATACTTTCATTGTTGTCTCAACTTCCCAACTTCATATGTTGATATTTGCTTTGTTTACAAAATTAACAAAATGCGCCTTATATTTAAATGAATAATTAAAACTACTGTATATACTTTGTCATCTTTGGTAGGAGGAGTTTTTATTAGCAGGGCCAGGCAACCTTGGCATGTTCGTAACGGCAGCGGGCATCTCCGAGCGTCCCCCAATCCAGTGGATGGAGAGCATATCGGCTGTTTCTTACTACCATCCATACATAATAACTATTACCAATCAGTTTATTAGAGTGTATAGGTAAGTCATATTAGTGTAGAGACTGGTGTTTAAATACTTCTCATGAAAAAGCATTACATGATATATTCATTACAAGGAAGCATTACTGGTTATATTCATCATGAAGAAACATTACATGATTACATATTGCACAATAAAATCACAAAAACCTTATATAACGTTGGTAACTTGCATCACTAGACTCCCCAGGCACAGGCACTACCGACTGAACCGTGAGGAGCTCACAGTATCTTAACCAGAAGCACTACTGTACCAGATTTACAAGAACTCTGTGTCCATGTATGCCTGGTAGTATTTCTGGTTGAGGATACTTTGGGCTCATCATGGTTCAGTCGGTCGTGCACGGTCGTCTTACTCAACCAGGTGAGTACATAACTGGGGAGTCCAGGGATGCAAATTGGATCCCATTGCTTGGCTTCGATGTTTTCTCATGATATATTCATTTAAAAAGCATTACATGGTGGATATATTTATTATACAGTAGCATTACACAATGGATTTGAATTCATATTAATATAGAGTACTGTTCAAGGAAACATTATAAATTGCTACATTAAATCTTTCCACTGTTGGGAATGACTTGGATCTTAACGGGATATTTAAAATTACTTTGAATTGATTTTTCTCCATTTAAAAGTGATATGTTGATTTTAAATTTAGAAATATTCAATTTTGTTATTATTAATCTTGTGTATTGCAGGTATCAGAATGTAATTAGTAAGTGTGTAACTTAAGGAAAGGCAGATTTTGAATCTACTATAGAAGTCTTAAAAAAATTTGATAACCAAAACTAGATGAAATTCAGTTTATTCCTTCAATTGATAGTCATTATACCGGCATATCAGTTTGTTGAATAAAATACACAGCAGCTAGTAACCCTAATATTCTGGGAAGATTGTGCATAGTTCACAATACATGTTATAAACAATGGATATAAAAAAGATCATTGTGTAATGCTTAGTTGAATACTTCATTTTCTACAGTTTGATTGACCAACAGCACAAACAAACCTTGAACTTTTCTGGTGGTGAATTAGTTGGAAACTTTGATGGTCAGCTTTATGTGGCTGCCCACTCGTGCATCTCCTGCCTCATGCCTCAGCCCTGGACTGTGCAGGTTCAGGTTAGAAAAGTTTCTAACATTCTGGGGCCAGATTCACGAAAGAACTTACGCAAGCACTTACGAACGTGTACATCTTTCCTTAATCTTTGACGGCTTTGGTTATTTTTATTAAACAGTTTACAAGCATGAAAACTTCCCAATCAACTGTTGTTATTGATATAAACAGCCTCTTGGTGCTTCCGAGCTCATTAACTGTTTAATAATTGGAAACAAAGCCGCCAAAGATTGAGAAAAGATGTACAGGTTCGTAAGTGTTTGCGTAAGTGCTTTCGTGAATCTGGCCCCTGTCCATCGAGCTCCATTTGCATTGCAGTCGCTAGCCATTTTTATTTATTTATGCTACTATTCGCAACTTTAACCCTTGTTATTTTGGCTTTTAGTGTTGGATATCTTACATTATTTATTATAGTGAAATGTTTGTAATTGTCATTCATTCATTATCATTATTCCATTTTCCAAGTTCATACACTTACCTAATATATGGGTCATTGGTAACCTAGGCCAAGGGCTATGACATGGAGTTTGACAGTAATCTAATTTGTCCAAACTATGACGTACCAGTAAGCCAAATATGTTTTGGCGATGAACCATAATACTAGCTCTTCCTTACTGTCGCTCAAGTAGGTGGCTGTTATAAGATAGGCAAATGACTAAATTGTCATCAGCTCTCTTCTAAGAGAGACTTAGACTTCTAAGAAAACCATTGTGTTGTTTTTTCTCTCTCAGACCTTAATGGACAGTGAGAGAGTAGAAGAAGCTGTTGAGTTGGCAGAGCACAGTGGAGCAGTTGGAATGAGTCAAGAACAATATCAACAGTTGTTCTGTACACTGCTTCAGAAGGCAGGCTTTATCAAGCTGTCCCATGGGGTCTACGATCAAGCTCAGGAATATTTCCTCAGGGGCTCTGTTGATGTTAGAGAGGTGAGATTTGGAAATGTCAAGAGTTATCAAATTTTTATCCATATGAAGCAGTGTAGAATATCCGCTATATTTTAACACCTACGTTCTGGGGTTTAAAGGCTCACTGGCCAAGATTTGTCAAGCATTTATGCATTGACTTACAAAACCTGTACATCTTGCCTTATTCAAGGTGGCTTTGTTTATACTTAACCTCATCAACGCGCTACAAGGTTGTTTCAAAACTTGAAAAGCATTTAATGAAAGTAAACAAAGCCACCATAATTCAGAAAAGATGTATAGGATTTGTAATTGGTTGCATAAATGCTCAATGATTTCTGGTCCAGGTTTTCAGTGGGCCAGTGGATTTCTGCATGTTAATTTTTATAATATTTGTTAGTTTTCAGCTGTTTATTGTTACATGTTTATTTTATGCCACTCAGTGTCCTCTTTTTCATTGTTTTAGGTTATCAGTTTGTACCCAGGCCTTTTGCCAGCAACTGTTGAGTTCATGCGAGCTCAACCACCCCTGCACCACATTGCTGATATAGCCCAAGCAATGCATGGTGACCAAAACAAGATCGAGGATGCAAAAACGTTCCTCTTTGGGTACCTCTTGCATCTTCGAAACTTTGGGGAGCCCATCATGTACAGGACGGTGAGATACATTATCATAAAGTTGTAGTTATACAGTGAAATATATTTGTTAATGCATGAAGAATACCTGTTTTTCAGTCAAATTTTTTTTAAATAATTTTAGCAATTCATTTCTTGTAATGTAAAGATAAATAACTAAGAAATTCTTTAATGTTTTACATACAGTATAAAAAATAAATGACAGTTTTACAAAGACATGTGTCCCAAAACACACTACATTTGCAGCAACTCGTATATAATTTTGAACATTGCTGTACGGATGGCAATACTGCGCTACAAATATAGGCTGACACAACTGATGAAGATATCGATATAAAAATGCACCTTTAATTGCAGTACAATATTTCAGGAAGTAGACACTGCCATCATCAAACTGTATGCGGAGAAAGAATCTTCTGACCTGCTGCTATTCCTTGATAGTGGGGACATTGTGTGTAACTTGCCTGAGTGTGCACAGTGGCTGGAAGCCCATCACCAGTACTCTGCCCTAGCTAAACTGTACAGGTAATGCCACTGAATGATCACATTTTACTTCATATGAAGTATTTGCAGTCTTTAGGTGTTGAAGTTGTAAATGTATATAAATATATCTTGGTGGCACCTCCAATATCCAAGCTGTACCATTCCTGACCCTATCCACATTTTTTTTATATTTCCTCCAAACTCCAAAACACATTATTTTGAAATAATACACATTGGAAATAATAATATATGTAATACTGCATACTTAATTCGACAAAATGTGTTTACAACAGACATGGTGACTTAAGAAGTTATGGCTGCATATATTATTTTCTTTTGATAACTTCTTGTGCTATGTTTTAACTTCACTTATTTTACCTTTTTGCAGAGTTCTTGGTGACCTTGACAAATCTCTTGAAGTTCTTACACGACTTGTGAGAGATGAAATTAAAGACAAGCATTTTAAAGGCGTACAAGATTTGGTGGACTGCTTAACCTAGTAACTACAACTTTGTTTACCTTCTTAAGTTTAGGGAAAATGAGGATTTGAAACATACATGGGTTCTGTCGCACAGTGGTCCATGTTCTCCCTCACAACAGAAGGACCTGGGTTTAGTCCCTGGTCAGGATAAAAATGGTTGGCCACATTTCCTTGCACATATACTTCATACATATATATATATACACATTAGACTTATACTGTATTAAGGTCTCTTTGAGGGTGAACTACTGACCTTCCTCAGGATGTAATCCCACAACAAGCTGACCAACTGCTAGGTGGACAGAGGTATTAGGTGATAGGAAGCGTGTCCAACCATTTCTGTCCTGCCTGGTATTCGAACCCGGTAATCCCTATTGTGAAGCAAGAACGAAGAGTAAATGAGAATGAGGAGTAAACCTTCATTGTTAAATATATTTGTGCTCCTGTATATATTTGTGTGTATAATAGCCTTCCTGTACATTCACTTTCATTTCACTTCAGCAAACTTTAAAAGTTATATGTTTAGATTTTGTATAACTTCTTGATAAATAGTTGTTTAATTTTTTACTTGTGATTATAGTAATATCTACCAGACTTAGCAAAATGTTTTCTTCACAGTGCAACTGACCCAAATGTTGTATGGCGCTACTCAGACTTTGTGTTGGATCGAAATTCAGTGGAAGGCATACGGGTATTTACAGAAACTAATGCAACGTTGGACCCCTCGCGCGTCTTGCAGGTACTCCAGCGTTATCCAGAGGCAAGATTAGGATTTCTTCACCATCTAATTGACACAAAAAAAGTACAGGTAAATGAGTTTGTTAGAATTTTTATATAGTTTGCAAATAATAAGTGATGGTTTGCTAAATGAATTAGCAGTTAGGAAAAAAAATAATAATAATTTGTATTTGCTTATAGGATGAAAAGTATCACACAGAGCTGGTACTGCACTATGTAGATGAGGCAGTGAGACTGATAAGTGACGGACCAGCTTCTTCTGAACGCCTTGAGGAGGTTCGAGTGAAGCTGCAAGAATTGCTCACTTCCTCTTGTTACTACCAACCTCAACCAGTACTTACCAGGATGCACGGTACTAGTCTTCATGTAGAAACGGCCGCAGTATTTGGAAGGGTAATTTGCTCTGCTGTTAATTTTTTTTATTAGTTTAAAGCCGAGGCCTAAATTATCTACTCAAAAGTGCATATAGGTTTCAGATTTGTGTGTTATTAGTACACTGTCTTGAACCATTTTTGATTTATCTAGTTTAAACTATGTAAGCTTTTTCTGGAAAAAGATTATGAATAAATTATCTGAAATTGATGTGGAAGGCAATGAGTTTGAATATCTAATGATGTTTCTTGTATTCAATACTTCTATAACAGCTCGGTGAACATGAAAAAGCTCTCTCTATGCTGGTTCATCAGTTAAAGGACTTTGCTGCAGCTGAACAGTATTGCATAGCACAGACCAGAGGGCCAAACAATATATCTAAATCCAATATCTTCCTCAAGCTACTTAAGATATATCTACGACCACCACCTGGGTAAGTACCACCTTTATGCCTGTTTTCCGTCTTCCACCAGTCCCTCACATAACTAGATGGCTGTCATCAGGCCTAATGGTATGGTATACAATCTTGGGTAATCCATATTGTGGATTATGTAGTCATATTGTGGCTGTCGTAGATATTTATAGTTTACAGCTTCACATGAACTAGACAGCTGTCACCAGGTCTAATGGTATACAGTTTTATGTAATCCAGATTACTGTCATAGATATTTATGGTTTACAGTGTCAGATAAACTAGACAGCTGACACAGATGTCATGCAGATGAAAAGTCACAATAATGTGGCTGAAAAAGTTGACCAAACCACACACTAGAAATTGAAGAGACGACGACGTTTCGGCCCGTCCTGGACCATTATCGAGTCGAAACGTCGTCATCTCGTCAATTTCTAGTGTGTGGTTTGGTCAACACAGATGTCATATTATTCAATCCTCTCACATAGACTAGACAGCTGTCCAAAATACTAATCCATAAACTTAAGCACAAAATATGTTAAACCTGTATTTTTCCTTTAACATGAGCTGTCATCTGTTGTTTTTTAATGCAGGGAAAATTTGAGTCTTTTCATCTAATATTATTTACTATTGCAGTGAAAGGTTTTACTGTCTTGTTAATGCATTAACATTAGCACTACACATAGCCTGTTTTTACTGTTATTTAATTTTGTAATAGTTTTTATTGAACTTTTACTTATAACTCCTCCCAAATTATTTACAACATTCTTTCACTTCATTTGTATCTCCAGGGGTTCTGAAGATGAGATAGAACTTGCACCAGCCATTGAACTTTTGTCAGTTCATGCTGGGGATTTAGAAGTATCGGCAGTCTTAGGTCTTCTTCCACCCAGCTGGTCTCTCAGTATTGTACATCATTACCTTCGAGCAGCTTTAAGAAACTCTTTGCACCAGGTATGATATTGTTTACTATTTGATAATGATCTTCTTGAGGTTATCTTGAGATGATTTCGGGGCTTTTAGTGTCCCCGCGGCCCGGTCCTCGACCAGGCCTCCACCCCCAGGAAGCAGCCCGTGACAGCTGACTAACACCCAGGTACCTATTTCACTGCTAGGTAACAGGGGCATAGGGTGAAAGAAACTCTGCCCATTGTTTCTCGCCGGAGCCTGGGATCGAACCCAGGACCACAGGATCACAAGTCCAGCGTGCTGTCCGCTCGGCCGACTGGCTCCCCTGATGATGATGATAATAGTATTTCAAAATATACAAACGAATATGATAGTGGTTTAATATTTGTTACAGAGCATGTACATTTAATAAGGAACTAATACCGAAAACATTTAAGACACTGTATAACGGAAAATAATTCAAGTTAGGTTGTTTAAAGGTTGGTGGCTTTCCAGTTAAATTATTTTTCCCATCATACAGTGAAGTTTGTGGAAAATCTTTCAACTTAAGTCTTGGTAGGTACAGAATGCTTGATGACACTTCCCACTGTGTAGTTGGGTCATTAATGACTCGTTACACTATCAAAAATACAATGATGTTCGGAGATAGAAGGAAAGTGCCTAGATACTTTATTCCATTCTATATACATTTTTTACCTATTATAATAGTCTAATATATATTATGTATTTTCACTTGAGATTCATGCAATAGGAAGAAATTGAATTAAGTTTGGTAGATTATTGAAATTATTCCATACTGGCTTAGTGCTTTCTTTTGATAATTATTTTCTTTGTCCTCAGAGTCGAATCAAGCGAATACAACAAACACTTGTTCGCACTGACAACATACAACAAAAGTTCATCCTGTATAAGCTCTGCAAAGACATGGGCCCCATTCCAGTAGCTTCAAACAGGTTTGAATGTTACCTTTTTTAGTTTGGTTTCATTCTAAGGGATGTTCAATATAAAACTTATTAGTTATTGCTTATTGGAATTACTTTATCTTTTGAGAGCATTTTAAGCTTGTTGTTTGGTATGCAAAAATGTATTAAGTAGTAAAGGTCCCCTCTAGCTGCAACTGGCACAAAGTTTGCAGTAATAGTGGCAAGTGCAGAGCTGTTATAGAGTGTTGTTGTTATAATAATTCATTGTCGGGGGACAGGAAGCCGTAGTATATTCATACACGTTTTGGCTTTTACCGAGGTCCTCCTCCTCCCCCCCCCCCCCCCAACACCACCATGGATGAATTACTGACCCTGGCCAGGATGCAATCCCACAATAAGCTGATTACCTCCTGAGTACCTACTCACTGGTGGGTGAACAGAGGCACTAGGTAAAAGGAAATGTGCCCAACCGTTTCTATCCCGCCCAGGATTCGAACCCAGAGTTCGTAATTGTGCATCAAGAATGAACCCACCTGTGCTACCGGGACTCTTAACCGGCTGTTGTGCTCACGAGCTTGTATTAAATTACTCCCAAGTTCAAGTCTCTCAGAGTATGGTACAGTATTGACAGCTTTTGTTTGAAGTATAATACGTGTACAGTATATTGCTGCCAGCTAGTTCACACATACTCCTTACCTTGAGGTTACCTTGAGGTGCTTCCGGGGCTTAGCGTCCCCGCGGCCCGGTCGTCGACCAGGCCTCCTGGTTGCTGGACTGATCAGCCAGGCTGTTGGACGCGGCTGCTCCAACAGCCTGCCATCCAAATGATGCACATACATCTCATCTCACATAGCTAATACTAAAGGTTACATAATAATGCTAAAGGGCTCTCACTCTCCCATGCAGAATATGTTGTGTGTGCAACCGAGGATTCTCAAGCTCCGAGTTCAGCATCTACCCCAATGGAGTGATGGCTCACCTGGCCTGTGCGCCTAACCCCAGCGTCTGTCCTCTAACCGGCACCGTTTTTCAAGTCTCGCGCGAGGTTACCAAGCCTAAGACGAAGGAGCAGTACTCAAGATGAAGGGAACACTAATCTTTTACGTCTGGTAACATTTCATTATTAATATGCTATGGTTAAGCAAATTGTTAATACAGTATATTAGACAATAGAAATGATGTTTCTTGATGCAATTTATTAAAACTTTTAACATGTAGATACTAGAAATATTGTTACAATAAGCTTTGTGTGATCGAGATTTTGCTTCAAAGATAGTCAGAAAAATACTGTATTTTGAACATGGTTGTGATCTTTCAATTAATAATCCTTCATGTAATTATCATATAAAGTGGCCCCTCTGTTTACGAATATAATCCATTCCCAGAGACAGTTCGTAACCCGAAAATTCACACCCCAAAACAAATTTTCCCATAAAAAATAATGTAAATTGAATTAATCCGTTCCACACTCTCAAAAATATTAACTTCAAAATACATTTCATACCAAATACACACAAATATTTAGTACTATAGTAAGTACAAGTTATAGCTTACCTTTATTGATGACTCTTATTGGTGTATGGAAGACGGTGAGGAGGGGGGGAGGAGTAGAGGTATGAGTGTTTGGAAGGTGAGTCCCCTTCCATTATAACATCAAGCAGTGATGACATTTCTGTGGTACTCTCCTACGTTTTGCAGGCATACCACTAGGAACTGGTTGTGGCTCACTGCTTGCTTGTCTTACTATGAATCTATCTAAAGACATTTGTTTTTCCCTACATTTTAACACTTGTCTGTAGTGAGACATCACATTGTCTTTAATAAGGTCATTGCAATGGCCTGCTAAAGCTTTATCTGGGCAAGTCTTTTCAACGAAACTTTGCAGTTCTTCTCATACTGCACACATTTTCTTAATTAATGAGGAAGGGACATCTTCTACTGCCTCTTCCTTCCCTGAAGATTTGTTGTACTGGTTAGCTAGTTCAACAACTAGTGTACTATTTTCATGTTTACGAATGATCTCTTGTTTTTCCTCTGTGGTCATCCTCACATGTGTTTTCTTAGGTTGAACCTTATCACTGACTTTCTTGGGACCCATAGCATGATATACAGTATAATAATTACTTTTATGTTCAAAACCCAAAAAAGCAGAAAAACAATGAAATTCTTTAAAAAGAATTCAAGCGCAATCGACACTAGACAGGAGGCACTGGTAAACGGAAGCACGGGCGACTGTGCCACCAGGAGTCATGTGCTCGGTCCCCCATAAGCATATCAACAAACTAGGTAACTCGAGGCAAAGCTCGTAACCCAATTCAAATTTTATGAAGAAATTGTAACCCGAAAAATTTGTAAAGAGGGGCATGTGTAAGCCGAGGTGTCTCTGTACATATTACCAGTCGTTCATCTTTATTAATTTTATTACTATTAAAATAGGAAAATTATAAATGGTAAAATGCTATTGTACTGCATATCTCTTGATCTTGCATAAGTACTAAATCTAATATAGACTGAAGTAGTATATAATATGTCTGCTTGTGTAAATGATGTATTTATTATCAGTTATAAACAATCCTGCTACTAAAATGTCTTGTTAATTTGTTGCTGTGTTTCTTCAGTTTAAAACAGCAACCTCCTACCTCATTGTATAATGTGTAAATATATGTACCGAACTTGCAGTCTGTAATTATTAATAAGCTGGAATTTATACATTCCTAAACAAATATTTCTTGATTAAGCATAATGTTTAATATACTAAAAAGACATTTAATACATTTAGAGAACCTAATAATGCCAATTTACAGTAAACAGTATTAAGCTTAGCTGTGTTTGGAATGTAGAATACTAGCATGATTGTAACAGGAATTACTCGGTTAAAACATATCTAGTATAGTACACATAGGCTGTCAATGACTATTTTATATGCCAAAGTGTCATAAATAAAATATATATGTACTAAGAAATGTTTATTGTGATTCTGATTAAATATTGTTTAATATTTTCATTAATACTGAGCAGTTGAATTAAATATGTCAAATATTATGTACACCATCCAAACAGGATACTGTATTGTATTTGTATACTGTATATGTACTTTTATTATTGTATAATAATACTGCATGAAGGGGCTTAGTGGGTGGCTGCCAGAGTGGGATGCTCAATAAGATGGTATTTCATATCCTTTTTGAGCCTTTTGCTCCTGCAGCATTTTTTACTAATTTTGAAAAACACCTTTTTCTCTTCCTCGTCTTTCTTTCTTCCCCCTCCACTTCTACTTTCTGGGTGAAGCATCCTGATGATTTGGTTCCAAACTTGAATATTCTTTTTTGACCACTTACGTCCTGATGGAGGGCGAGTTGAGATGGCACACACTTCCAACTGTAGAACTTGGGTATCTGACGCGTTTGAGCGAGGGGAAGCTTTTATGTTAAATCCTGTCTTCGTTACTGAACCCGATCTCGACAGACTGACGGTTCTTAAGATAACGATTGTGGGGTGCATATACACAATGCACCCCCTGTGAAAGCATCATAGATATGCATTATGTTGGGTTCCCTGTCCTCTAATTGTGGTTTCATGGTGTGTGTGGGGGCTTAATCATGGACGAAATTTTGTTTGAACATTCTATGCAGATTTTTAGGCACTCCTATTCCCATTTCTAAGACTAGTAGCGTGGGTGACCAGACCCCAGAAGTGGAGCAAAATGGAAGGATGGGTTCCATAGCTATGACTATGTAAGGCCCGGATGGCTTCATCTCTAAATACTGACACACTCCACTTCCCCTCCCATTTCTATGGCTGGGTTGAGATCCAAGCCCCCTGTGGTGACTACCTCGTCCCCTAGTGTCACTTCTCCTTCCACTGTAACAATTGTGTTATTCATCCCCTTCCGTAGGAATCCTTGGTGTCATCACCATACTCATAAGTTTGCTTCCCCTGCTACATTCCTAGATTTGTTTGCTATGTGGTCCAAGTATTATGATCTTTGACTCGACAACCATACCCACCATGTTGTACATATCCATAGACACTTGGTAGACTCTGTGGCTTCCCAGATTACTTTTAATTCAACTTGGACTGGCCACTCACCTTGGTACTTTGACTTGCCTTGGTGAGTCCCAGTTTGGGTGTCCAAAAACACACTGTTGAACTGTTGAATGGCAGCATTGACACTGCTCTTCTCCTGTACCATGTTGCAACTGGTGATCGTGACCTCAAAGACTGCCATGAGGATTTTAAATATATCCTCGAGGCCCAGGGCATCTCTATCTTCCAGATTGACACACACTCTTGTCCCCCTCATGGTCGTTGTTTTCATCTTTGTATTGTCAAGATCACTTTTTATGGTAGGACCCTTTCATCTTCTGTCATTTTTTGCCAGAACCAGAACACAGACCATCACACATGATAATAGTCCAGGATGGATCATCACACATGATAATAGTCTAGGATGGACCATCACACAATGTGATAATGGTCCATGATGGGCCGAAACATCACCACGACTGTTGCGTTCAGATGTGTGAGTTGGGTGTCCAATTATCAATCCCGTTACTGTGACTTCGTGTCCACATATTCACCAGTACAACCCCAAGAAGGCCCATGCATAAATCCAGTAATTTTAAATAGTCCCAGACAATGTATAACCCCAGACCCTCATGAAGCTCTAACTACAGACTAAAATAGTCCCTTTTGGAACTTGTTTTCCATATAACCATATGTAAATATATAAAAGTTTATCAGTGTCCTGCCCAACCACTTGGGCTGGACGGTAGAGTGACGGTCTTGCTTCATGCAGGTCGGGGTTCAATCCCCGCACGTCCAAGTGGTTGGGCACCATTCCTTCCCCCCCCCCTCCTTAACCCCTTCCCAGTGCTTTATAGTCGTAATGGTTTGGTGTTTTCTCCTGATAGTTCCATTCTATTATCAGTGTCTTGGCCTGGTGCCTCATCTTGCCCACCAGCTTTCTTTGGTAACGTTTGTAAACAAAAGACAACGTAACGCCATGGAGCAAGCACACGCAGTCACATGCTTTTCAGATGTACGCATAAAGGTGCGTGTTGTTAGAGCACGACGTGTAATGGACAGGGCAATGACAGGCAGATTAAAAGTTTTTGTTTAGTTATATTAAAGATTCAGTGGCGAACCGCTTTACCCAGGAGTCATACTGAGCTCCAGAATTGTTACATAATACAGCTCGTAGTTATCAGTCCTCGGTGACCCTGCTACATAGTGACTCCATAACTGTAACATAGTAAAGCCCTCGTGGTGATTCACAACACTCAAAAGAAATCGAAATCACTGACGTGTAAATCCGGTCTAGGACCAGGACACGCCGCCACTCATCCGGTCCTGTTAGGAATATATTTTTCCTTGTCATTCTATCGAGTTTGTCTCCCAGGAATTCTAAATCTGTGAGGTTCGTTCGTACACGTCCCTTTGATTGGGTGTTTAAAGCATTATGAACCGCACACACGATCGTCGTTACATCTTATTTTAAAAGTTGATCTTCACAAGGCTTGCTGTAGCAGTACGGCTTATAGGTTCCATATTGTATAGCAGTTAATGATTTTTGCTTCTCAGAGCATAACACGTATTTGGGTTTTATTGCTGCCACCAGCTGTGTTGGTTTACTGTGTGCTCCATACTCACCCTGTGAGCGGTAGTTTATTGTGCACCCCATACTCACCCTGTGAGCGGTAGTTTACTGCGCACCCCATACTCAACCTGTGAACGGTAGTTTACTGTGCACCCCATACTCACCCTGTGAACGGTAGTTTATTGTGCACCCCATACTCACCCTGTGAACGGCAAATTATTGTACACAGCGATTGGCTGGTATTTCCTCGAGTCGTTTCAAGGTCTCGACTTGAATAATATCTATACACAGCATTTGAAACAAAAATAATACACCCTTATATATTATACTTGCAGAGTCCGAATAGAGGATGGAGGAATTATGAGGAGCGTGAACGGCCTGTCCGCCTTAGAAGGCAAGCTTCGTGATGTGTGGGAAACACAACCTCGGTTCTTTAGTTTATCGACATAAATATTACTTGTTTCGCCCGCACAGCGAACACACTGAATTTATGGAGACATTGGACTGCGATAACTCTTCTGAGAATGATAATTGCAGCGACGTAAGTACAAACACTTCAACGATAATTTCAACCCTGAAGGCACAATCAATCTGTTCCTGAGCCACAAAAATGTCTACCTGCTGGAACGCGATAATTCCCCCCGTGTGTACTGTAGACTGGACGCACATTCATGAACAATGAATTATTCGTCGCAACTTTATTTCTGCGTGGTGTGTGTGTGTGTGTGATAGAGAGACATTCCCCGTGGGAGGCTGACAGATTGCCTGTGTTTTGGGTTGTTGTGATTCCCAGGAACGGAGGCGTGAAGGTTTGCCCGGAGGAGAGTAAGAGTGGTTTGAAGGAAGGCTTCAAGGTTGTCGAGCTGCGCTGCTCAGTATTGACGATCATGTCGCCGGGGATGACTGCTTCCTCGGCAAGGTCGCGGAGGGCTTTGTGCCACGCCTTGCTACACACACGCACACATACGCAAGCGCGCGCGAGAGGGAGGGAGGCAGGCTGCGTGAATTGTACGTCACGTCGCTGAAAGCTATGGGTCCCCTTCCAGCCAGAGGTGGTACCCCCCTTTCCCAATATATATTTATACGAATCTGAACTATAGTACAGATAGTGACTGTAGAGGGCGTGTACAAAATATAAACTGTGGCCCCGAAAAACCCACGTTTGATGTAAAGGACTGGAAACAGGAGGAAATAACCTAATTTATCAAAGGCCTAGTATAGTACATAGTGCACTATACACTATATACATAGTACATTATACCTATGATCATGTTTTTTTATGCCTAGAAAAGGTTTAGTTAGGTTCTTCAGGGCTGAGTTTACTTAATTACTAAGGCAACCACAATTAGGTGCTAAGTTGGTTAGCACCTTATTGTGGTTGCCTTAGTGACTTAACCACTAGCGGGTTAATAACTCTCCAGAGATTGATAAGCCTCAATAACGCTCCATAGGTCGATAGGTCTGAATAACTCAACCAGATGGCAATGAACTCTACAAAGCTTGATAACCCTCAGTAACCCTCCAGAGGCTACAGTTAAGGATTGGCGCCCAGTAAATCCTCCCCGGCCAGGATATGAACCCAGGCCAAAGCGCTCGCAAAACGCCAGGCGAGTTTTTATAACTACGCCACGGGACCTGCTTATAGTCCCACGCAATAGGCCCTAACCCTCCTGAGGTGAAATTGAAATTGAAATAAGTTTATTGAGGTAAAATACACAAAGGGATGAGGTAGCTCAAGCTATTCTCACCCCGTTCAGTATATCGTGTTAATACATACATATAAACACATCACAAACAATAAACATATTACCAAACATTCTGAGAGATAAACATCTACATTTCCTCTTTTACACAAGCAACTTTCCAGAGGTTGAACTTAGAAGCCTAGAACCCAACACCAAAATCAGAAAGCGTATTCATTACAATATTATTCGAGACCGTCACACATAATGTAAGTAATAATAATAATATCATTATCAATATATTTTACATCTCAGAGAAGTCTGTACAGAGATGAAGAACACCAGTGACAACATGCGAGAGTTCGGACAACAAACGAGACTTTCTCTACCCATTTTCCGTGAGTATAAACCACAATTATAAGATATGAGGTTTTTTAAATTCCTCGCAGCCTTAACCTCTGGACTGTGATGACGGTGTTAGTCCGGACTGTTCATCATCCATGGCAGTGTCAAAAGTGCAGCCCGTGCTCATAAACAATGTTCAAGCTATCAAACCTGTTTATCAGTGAAAAACGCTTAACACACGACTCATAACTGATCATGTTCGAACATTTCTCGAACAGTGCTTTGACGACTCATAACTGATCATGTTCGAACATTTCTCGAACAGTGCTTTGATGACTCATAACTGATCATGTTCGAACATTTCTCGAACAGGGCTTTGATGGCGACTTCTGTTCGAATACGAATAATTGCCAACAGAGCCTAAACACCTAGGCCTACCTGTAAATCAAATTCTCATATATAATAATATTTATTTATACACGTGAACGTGCCGATTTTGATTACACCAATAAAATCGATGAATTAGTCTTTGAGTTCGGCAACTGCATGGATACGACGGGTTACTGTCACACTTGCATCTGTCCAGTGTCGGACACTCAGACGAGCAGTTGTCAGGGAAATAGGAAAGTTGTTTCTTGTTTTAGATTCGCTACCTGGAACAAAAAGTTCCAAGTAGCACGGGCTATGGTGAGCCCATTAATAGGAAAGCTCGTGTCCATCCAATAGCGCAACACTTAGAGAGGCCTTGAAATGCAGAGCTTGCATCCATCTCTCACCTTGTGAGTCTCTCACAGCCATCATGGAGTCATTTATGAAGTCATGATTTCAGGAAGTCCGTCACATGCAGCGGCCGACCCCAAAGAGGTATTCGTCAATTTTTAACGTTCCGTGTATTCAAAAGCAGTATTTTGTGTATGTAAATTAACATTATTATATATATTAGAATTTGGTGTATAGTTAGGCATAAATTAGATTAGGTTAGGTGTTTTGTTGGCAATTATTTATACTTATAGTACGTGGGTTTACATTCACAGCGTTGTGGTTCGAACGAAAGTCGTCAGCAGAGCACTTGTTCTTGAAGTGTTCGGACGACATCAGTTGCAAGTCGTGTGTAAACCGTTTTTCATTTATAAACAGGGGGGTTTGGCGGGTGCATGGTATGGGCTTTGGCTTTTGTTTGTGAGGACGGGCTGCTGGATGGAATGGACTTGGTCTGAAGATGGACTACATTTAGAGAGGTGCGGTTTGGACAGAGGACGTGATCGCGGCACTGTTGTGAATCGCGTGTAAAGGGTTTTTCATCCACAAATTGGGGTTTCCGGCTGAATTAACGAGCATTTGGCCATTGCTTATGAGGACGGGCTCGTAAAGGACAGTACAGAAGCAGGTGTTACTCGTCGCTCGCTATGATTCCTCTGTAATGACTGTAATGTAACTAGTCAACATGGTGCCAACTTGGTCACTGCGCAATACGTGTGATTCAGAGCGTTGCATTTCTGCGCGTTTCAATGATTCCCTTCCGCACCTCTTGTCATTCAGATCAGGAAACCCCAAGGTTATTTGGTGCATTCTTGATTAACAACTGGAGTCATATATTTGCTGCTTTAATCTTAAGATTCCGATTGATAAGCTCATATAACGAAACATTAAACGACAGTTCAAGTATGTTTATTGAGACAAGAAAATACATCTCAAAGGAATGGAGTAGCTTAGGCTATTTCTACTCCCCCTTCCCACCCCCCCCCCCCCCCCCCCCCCCTATTAAACGTAAGGCATTCGGGTGTCGTTGAATTTTGCACGGTTTCCCCAGTTGACCTGTGAAAGATATCATAGATTAAATGGAGCTTTCCATGTTATGTTTGGGATTGAGAACCATGTACCCATAGAAGACCATTAGGCCTAGATGCCCTGTCTATTAGACAAATAGGCCAATTTCCTGGTTACGGGAGTGACAATGATGGCCACATCATTGTGTGTAAGTATGAGAGGATGTGAAACGTCAATGCGAGTGGTATTCGTCAGAGTTTAAGGTAGATGTGTAGTTGATAATCATCTTTCCCTAGCACAAAAGTTTCAATTATATTAAAGTTACAGATAATAAAGAGAAATAGGCTACAGAAACTTCAGGGAGACAACGTTGAGGACTCGAAGAGTCTCCTGGACCAGACAGCGCAGCAGAAAGAAATTTCCTGCTTCCATCCGAATATGTACACAAACGCTTTTCATTCATAAATGCAGAGTTTGGCTGCTAGGTTAGCTAACATTTAACCTTTGTTGATGAGGACGAGGCTGTGTAAAGCTATACCTCAAGAACTAAGAATGGAGAGTTTACAGTAAAGTCTGCAAGGACTTTAAGTCACAGCTTCCAACAAACTCAGTGTGCAAAATACGGAGAATTACCGACTAGGAACGTTTATTCAAGTTCAAGTATGTTTATTGAGATAAGAAAGAAATACATCTCAAAGGGATAGAGTAGCTTAGGTTATTTCTACCCCCCTTTTATATTGTTTATATTATAAAGGAACGTTTATATTGTGTTCATACACACCATGAAACAGCCGGCCCTTTGTTTTGATGACACGTTGATATTTAAATCCATGTATCCGCTTCTATTATTCGGTTATCTTTGACAGCTGGAAAATTTGTCGATGGATGAAGCTCGATGAACCTCTTTATATGTTGAAAGTATGTTTTAACAATAAAATATTTGGGCTATACATTTATCGAGGCATTGTCTTTGTCAAACAATCTGACCTATATCAACTTTCTTTATATTATGGATATTAATTGTGATGTTTACATCAGTCGGACGCCCTTGTGCGCCGCCATTACAGTTGCCAGCAAGTGTCTCCCTCTGGACAGCAGACTTATGTTCACCGAAAGGTGTACACCATTTCTCGGTGTATATATACATTGAGAGTTTATCTTAGTTCTGGTCTATGATCAGAGCTAAATTATACTTGCTGGTTGAACCGTAAGCTGTTGTGGTGGCCTTAATAACTCTCCAGAAGTTGATAGGTCCAGCATTAGACCCATCTGGACAGCGCAAATTGAAATTTGATCTGAGCTGCGGCATCACTGACAGGCGGCTACAACCTCGCCCTCATCTACCTAGACAAAGTAAAAGGTGAGTAAAAGTTTCATTAGCTAGACAATGAAGAATCATAACGGGAAGTATGTGTTAATCCCATTGGTTGTGCTTCTAGTTCATTCACGCCAAAGACAATTTGAAAATGATGTGAAGGAGACGCTGGAAAGATTCAAGAAATACATTACTAAATCAATCCTTTATTGCGGGGATACGAAATATGGCAGTAAATAGAGACAGAGGCTAAAGTATACTTGCTGGTTGGTCAATATTGCGGTGTGTTCTTAATGACCCTCTCGAGTGTGGTTGATAGACCTCAAGCCTAACGCCAAACCAAAGCTAAGTAAACAATTTAACTGACCTTTTTTTTATTCATTCTCTACATTTCCCCCTCCTCGTTTCCCCTCTGAGAGCACAAGGCGCTGT